TTTCCTCCCCCAGCCACATAGGTAATTGGAGTTTCATCCAAGCCCCCCGTCACCCCGCCACCCTGGCCGTTTCCGCTGGAGTCTTCACAGCCCCCTCCCATTTCCCGACTCCTGCCGGACCCCGCCCCCCCCTAAAGCTCTGACTTCCGCAGAAGTGTTACCCCGAGCTACGACCCCCGCAGGGGTCGTCTCACCGTCCCTTCCAGGCCTTAGCAATCTTTATTTATATATATATATATATATATATATATATATATATATATATATATATATATATATATATATATATATATATATATATATATCTATATACACCTGTACATAGATATATATTTATAATAGCGCTGTCACTCCCCCGCTCCATCTCCTAACGGAGTGTTCCTCGAGCACCTAACTTATCCCGTCACCCTCTAACAGGAGTCTTCACTGTCCAAATCCCCTTTCCCAGACTCCTGCTAGAGTAGGCCAGCTTGCCCTGTTCCCCGGGCGCCGATCCCCGCAGGGGTCAGTCACTGCCCCCCCCCAGGCCACTGAAACTCATTATATATGTATATCTATGGACTTTCGTTTATAGATATATATTTATATAGAGCGCTGTCACTCCCCGCTCCATCTCCAGTCGGAGTGTTCCACGAGCATCGACTCCAGCAAGAGTCTGGCCAAACTTGCCACTCACCCTCTAGCAGAAATCTCCACCGCCCAAATCACACTTCACGATTTCTGCTAGAGATGGCAAAATAAAAAATTGCTGCACCCAACTCCCGCAGCACCCATTCTGACTCAGAAGTCTCCTGATCACCCCCTCCAGGCCTTAAATTATCCCATTTTATATATATATATATATATATATATATATATATATATATATATATTTATATACTCTCTCATATATACATATATATTTATATATAGCGCTGCCACTTCCCTGCTCTATCTCTGTTTGGAGTGTTCCTCGAGCATTTTTGACTCTTAATGAGCCAACCCCGCCCACCCCTTATGGCCCCCCTTCACTAGTCTCCACCCAACCCCCTCCCCCGCTCTGACTTCCACAGGAGTCAGTTTCAAACTTTGCTCCAACTGGAGCCCCCTACTCTTTCTTCATTCCTTAATAACTATATCCAGCAGCCGGATATAGTAAAAACTTTCTAGCTTTTTGGGGGAAATTCTTTGAAATACTCGGCTGCTGTCCCGAGCTAGAGGCATTTTTTTGGGGAGCAATCGAGACCTACCTGCTCTCGGTTCTCCTGATATGCTTCTAGACCGGGCGGGAGCCCTGGGCTCAAATATCTCCGAGCTCAGGGTTCTCTCCCGGGACAGCATGCCAAACCTGCTATAAGTGCCAAGCATATCTAAGTGGGAACTCTTGAAGTGAAGTTTCATAAACTAATTTCGAGAGGAGCACGTGATATGATTGTGCACCGCTGGCCACTCATCCGTAATCAGTAATAATCCAATTAGAATGATCCTAGCTTAGTATAAATGGATCACTTTCTCCCCATTGCACTATCTTCATTTTGGAAGAATCCCCCCTTCCACCCCATCTCCTCCTTTTTCTCCCCTTCTAAAGGGGGAGCGATCGAGACCTACCTGATCTCGGTTCTCCTGATATGCTTCTAGACCGGGCGGGAGCCCTGGGCTCAAATATCTCCGAGCTCAGGGTTCTCTCCCGGGACAGCATGCCAAACCTGCTATAAGTGCCAAACATATCTAAGTGGGAACTCTTGAACTTGTATTTCTTGTGATGTGACTATTGTGAATGATCATTGATGCTGAAATAATGCTCTGGGATAATTTATGTGAGCTAAGGGATAATTGACCCAAAAATGTTAATTCATAATCGTCACAATCATATTCATGCGGTGAACTATCCATTTAAGATTGTGCAAACAGTGAACCTCTGTAAAAGTAAAGCTTTAATGTTTTAATTTTCCACTTAAATACCAGTTCCTCATCTAACATTCATTCATGCAGTGAATAACTATCATTAACTGAGTTACATATTTATTATTCAGTTTACTCTTACTCATCCACTAACTGTGGTGTCAGATGCGGTTTTGACCTCCATCAGTGTTTTTAACATCTATAAGACTCGACAGAATCTCACACAATCTGTGGCATAAATTGATAGACTGTTTCAGCTTTAGCAGCACATCATGCTGAATTACTGATCCTGAGCTGAACATTGTTTATACAAGTACCACAAGTTATTTAATCTGGTCTAAAGACTAAAAAGCTGTTTAATATTAAAGATAAAAGGTAAACTAAAACCACTTTGTCCTCTCTGACACTAAATATGTTTTTAGCTGTTTTATGATTAAAAAATTATGTTTGTGATTATTAATCTGCAACCAACAACCTGCAGTATTTTATAATATGGTGGCCTTTAGCGTCATTGTGCAATATATGAACTGTGGATTACACTAGAGGCCACATCCGCATCTGACACCATATTTAGTGACTAAAAAAGTGTTGATTCAATTAGTGAATGAATGAATGAATAAATGAGATACTCACTGAATGAGTGAATGTTAGTCGCTGAACTGCTTTTCTGTTGTCATTTAAAAGCTTTTCATTTCCTGATGAACTGTGGCCTATTTGACGAGATGTTTCGCTGTTAAACGGCAAATCATAAATAATTTAGTTATGAAAATATTGTTTCTATATGTATTAATCATTATATATATAATATATATGAGTCACTGGGCGTTGCAGGCACTGTTATTCAATGGTTCAGATCTTACCTCTCTGACAGGTCATTCAGGGTGTCTTGGAGGGGAAAAGTGTCCAACCTACAGCATCTAAACACTGGGGTACCTCAAGGCTCTGTTCTTGGGCCACTTCTCTTCTCCATCTACACGACATCTGTAGGACCAGTCATTCAGAAACATGGATTCTCCTACCACTGCTATGCTGATGATACCCAACTATACCTCTCTTTTCACCCTGATGATCCCTCGGTTCCAGCTCGCATCTCAGCCTGCCTGTCGGACATTTCACACTGGATGAAAGATCCTCATCTTCAGCTTAACCTCACGAAAACAGAAATGCTTGGAGTCTCTTCCAACCCGACTCTGCACCACAGTTGCCTTTAAATAGCACAACATTGTGATTAACTATTCAGTACAATAAACTTTACTATGTGGTTCTAAAATACTATAGTATTTAGTTTAAATAACTATATTTTATTTGGGACCGTACTGCTGTTTATTTTTATCCAAACAGTGCCATAAGACCAATAAAAAGTCAACTTTACTTCATCATTTATCATTTTCTCTATTAGAGTTCGCTGTGATGATCAGATTCTCCACAGCTCTGATTCTCTCAGCTCTCGCCGGGTTCAGTGGCGCGCGCCTGTAATCCAAGCTACTGGGAGGCTGAGGCTGCGGATTGCTTGAGCTCAGGGCTTCTGGGCTGCAGTGGACTATGTTGATCAGGTGTCCACACTAAGCTCGGTATCGATATGGTGCTCTTGGGGGAGCTTGGGACCACCAGGACGTGTAATGAGGGGTGAACCGGCCCAGGTCGGAGACGAAGCAGGTCAAATCCCCCGTGCTGATCAGTAGTGGGATCACACCTGAGAATAGACACTGCAGTGCAGCCTGAGTGACACAGAGAGACGCAGACTTTTTCTTCCAGGAGCACTTACACATACAAAAAAAGAGGAGAAATACTACTTAATCTCTTTCCCTAATTTTTTATTGTTCTGACCATTCTAGATTTAAAGGGTCATCATAACTGCATTATAACAGGCTTCATCAGGCAGTAAATCTTTTGGACTCTTAAAATGTTCTTTTGATTATCAGAAACAATAAATATCACACACTTCTGATCACTTCTACATTCACTGTAATCCACTGCCACAATCACACACACACACACACACACACACACACACACACACACACACACCCACACACACACACACACACACACACACACACACATTGCTGTATAATAAAGCTTTGAACTAAACTTTGGATTTGGATGAGGCAACTTTAATATTTTATTGATTTTAACACATAATGAAGATCGAAGGCAAACATGAAGGGATTTACATTATAAACGCATAAAGAAATGATGAGCTTAGAGAGTTTTAAATCATTTTTAACACACGGAAATAAACTTTTGTAGAAAATAAATTTGAAGGAGCTTTAAAAAAAAGTGTTAAATTACTTTAAAAACGAAAAAACAAATCGCCACTAGGTGGCAGCAAGAGACCGCTTTAATCGAGTGAAGCTTTGAGTGATTCATTCAGCACGAATCACTGATTCATTGACTCGCCCGACTCTTTACAAAGGCCAGAATCATTCGTGTAAGGAAACGCCACTGTGTTTTATTTAGAGATGTCCAACTGTTCTGCTGTTTATTTTATTATTATCATAGTAATGATTTCACTATTATTTATGAGAAAATAACGCGAAAGTTTTTCAGCGCCTCGTCACGTGATCGTCAGCATCCATGGCAACGGTTCTTTTTGTGTTGTTTTGAACTCCGCTCTGTCATTGGCATCTGATCTCGGCGTCCTTCGTGGCAACTGATTCCCAGATTATTGATATTATTGATTGTTGGATACATCGATTGATCGTCTGCTTCTCCCATCATTCAGGTTTGACCCTTGTTATCACACTGTGGTTTGTGTTCAGTATGTCTTGTGTTCATTACAGGTTTCAGAGTCGACTCACCTACGACTCGCTCCAGTTTGAGGGCCTCAACATCACTGTGGGAGAGCTGAAGCGGCAGATCATGAGGCGCGAGAGGCTGAAGTTCTGCCAGCTGAAGATCAGCAAAGCCCAAACTGATGAAGGTGAGATGAGGAAAAGCCACTTAAACTATATTACACTAACATTAGATGTGTTATCAGACAGACTTGTAGAAGCTGTGATTTATTATCATGACTCTGATGGTGACATATAGTGATGTTCTGAGTGTTTTAAAATGCTAATGGCACTCAAAGTATACCATGGTAAATGATTATTACTATATTCAAACTTTATTTTGCTGTCAGAATACATAGATGATGATGCTCTCATCCCCAAAAACACATCGGTCATCATCAGACGGGTCCCTGCGGCTGGCCTGAAGTCCTCCAACAGAAGATTTGTTGGGTAAGTTATGTGAAATGAGCGCAATCGTCCTCTGATAGATGTTATATCAAGAGTTTGAGTCTGTCTGTGGTGTTTTGGTCACACAAGCTCCTTTGTTTTGTTTTGCAGACATCAAGCTGGACCATCAGCTAAATCTTCTCAAACAGGTGATTCTTCACTCCTCTCACTGGAGCAGCTGTTGAAGGTATTGAACAAATGATTAATTCACCCCACTGTGCTGCTCTGTATTGAACTGCAGTGTTTGCATTTGAGGCGTCATAATGACATGTAGTGCAGAATATCAATACACAGTGTTTAGCAAACAACAATACACACAAACACACACACACACACACACACACACACACACACACACACACACACACAAACACACAGCTTCTTAGGGAGATTTGAGGGTGTTTATTTAGAGCAAATCAGTGAAATAAAATTCTAATGTGCAAATGCCTGTGAAACAGACTGAGAATCTGGCTGAGGCAAAGGCATCAGAGGAGGACAAGCTAAAAGCGGTGATGTACCAGTCCAGTCTGTGCTACTACTCCAGCAGGTGAGCGTTCAGACACTGACAGGTTTGGTTTGTGAGAAATGTTAGAGCTGATTCTCATGGTTCTGATGTTCATCAGTGAGGCCATGACACTACTTGGGCTTCTTCCACCCAACTATGTCTGCTTTCACTGTGGGATCCCAGGACACCACATTAGGCACTGCCCCTCTAAAGGGGTAACTGGGTTTTCTAAGCTTATGGTTGCTGTGAACTTGAGCTCTTGACTCCATCAGTCAGATTGTTTGCTCTGTCGTTTGACTGTCACTCATGAATTCACAGGGCAGCAGCTTTGCTCCGCATAAGCGCATCAGGAGGAGCACAGGGATTCCCCGCAGCTTCCTGTTGGAGGTGGACGACCCAAACCGAAAGGGAGTCATGATGGACGGCAGCGGCAAATACGTCATTCCCATCATAGACGCGTGAGTAAACTGTACTTGGCATTGCAGCATGTTCTATTGTTTGTGAAAATCTCACATTATGTCTGCTTGTGTGTGTTTGCGCTCGATCTGTTCAGTGAGGCCTATGCTGCTGAGAAGAAAAAGAGGCCGTCCTTCTGCCAGACCAAGCCGCTGTCCTCCTCTTCCTTAGCAGGTGCGGAGACTTCAGTCTGGTATGCCGGAGGGAAACGATCCCGCTCCCCATCTTCATCAGAGACGCACGGCGACCAGAAGAGACCACGTCACTGAGAGACCTTCATCCAAGAGACCTGGAGCTGACGTGAGCACAGTGTATATATTGTACATAGTTTATGAATAAAACTGAATAAATATTATAGCAGCATAAACTGTGGACTGGTTGACCTTCACACAATACAGAAACACAAAAGAAAATGATCAACACATTAAGATAGAAATGATGAACAAACATGCTGCGGGAGAACCAGTGTGCTGTCCTGCTCACAATCTAAAACTTTTAGTTAAAGTCTATTAAATGTTAATCTGAAAAAAATAATACGCTGAACAGCTTTTATAGTATTCAATAGTTTTCCTCATTAAGGGAAAAGTTCAAGAAACATGGAAGAAAAGGCGGCATGTACATATTTTTAAAAATCCATTGAAATGACAAAGATGTGCATGCTCTAATAAGTCATTTTGGCTGTGTTCATATGGTGTCCTTTGGTGGTTTCTATTGCTGTTGTTGTTTACTGTTCAGCTGACTTAAGCAAATAGATTTCTTTATATATATGGCCTCACTGTAGGAAGGTCGCTGGTGGGAGTCCCGGCTGGGTCAGTTGGCATTTCTGTGTGGAGTTTGCATGCTCTCTCCGTGTTCATGTGGGTTTCCTCTGGGTGCTCCAAAGACATGTGCTATATAAGTGAATGAATAAGCTAAATTAGTCATAGTGTATGTGTGTGAATGAGGGTGTATGGATATTTCCCAGTACTGGGTTGCAGCTGGAAGGGTATCTGCTGTGTAAAACATATGCTGGATAAGTTGGCAGTTCATTCCGCTGTGGCGACCCCAGATTAATAAAGGGACTAAGCTAAAGGAAAATGAATGAATAAATTGATTGATTGATTTTATTTAACAATTTTAACAAAAATATACAAACAAGTCCAGTTTGACATTCATATCTTAAAAACTGTCGAGGATAAAATACACAATAAAGCCACAGGCTGATTTCCATCGTGGTCATCGATATTCTTAAAAAATGAACGAGCAAATCATAAAGTGCAAACATCATCAGCTCAGAAACTCAGCACAACAAAAATCCTCAACTTCAACCGTGAAACAGCCATTTTTTAATTTCCTCTCTAAAAACTCTCAAATTGAATCTCTTTAAAACTCCTCGGCAGTATATTCCAAGCAACAGTACACAGAAAAGACTTTCTACCTGTTTCACTATTAATTCTACAAGGACAAATACCCCTGCTACTCGCTCTTGTAGAATGACAGTGTACCTCACTAACTAAAACTTAATAATTAAATATTTTAAAATCTTAAACACCATCACCAATTTCAGAAAAGTGACCCTTTTTCCAACTTTTAATAAATTAGTTTGACTATAATATTCATTATTTAAATGTGTTAGTGGAAGTACTTTGATAACAATTCTGCAACTTATTTTGGGCCGTCTGCAATTTATTTTTCATTTTTGTGGAACTACTGCTGTACCAAAAGACTGCAGCATAGTCAAAGTATGACTGCACTAATGCACTAGCCAATATTTGTAAAGTTTGGAAATCTAAGAGCTCTGTCTGTCTTGCTAAAAACTTAATTTTAGAACTTTTGATTGGACTATAACAGCCATCTTCTCACCTGTCAAATTACTGTCTGAAATGGAACCTAAATATTTCCCTTCATGTTTGGGTTCATTAATTTGATGCTCTACTTTTACCTCTGATCTGACACATATTTGCAGTTTCGCAGTTGAACCAAATAAAATAAATTCTGGTTTACACAAGTGTAAGGACAATTTATTAAGGTTAAACCATTAAGAGACTTCCTCAGTTTGTTTACTTTTTTCATTTTCAATAAATTCCTTCCTCTCATGAGACACAATTATTGCTGCATCATCCGCATTTAACAAAAGCTTTTTTGAACAGGCCATTTTCAAATCATTGATGTATATTAAAAAAGCAAAGGACCTAAAACACTGCATTGTGAAACCCCATAAGAAACGGTCGAATAATCTGAAAACACACCATTTAAATCTACTATTTGACATCTGTTTTCAAGGTAAGACTTCATGCATTTACAGGCCAAAACACCAAAACCCATTGCCTTTACTTTTAAAATCAATATCCTGTGATCGACTGTATTGAAAGCTTTTTGCAGGTCTAAGAAAACCATCCCACTTAACTTCCTTTATCCATATCGCTCTTTATATAATTTGTTAATTAAAAGAAACTGTTGAATCAGTGGAATGATTTTCCTAAAACCCGACTGAAACTCCACAATACGTCACATTTTAAACAATATTTTTCAATGTGCTAATAAATAACTTTTTCCCTCCCTTTTGACAAAGCACTCAAAATTGAAACCAGCCTAGAATTATTAACCTCAAACCTACTACCTTTCTTAAAAAGAGGAATAACTCTTGCTTTTTTCAACTTTACCTTGACAAATAGAAAAATTGATAATATGAGTAACCATCGGAGTGACGCATTTAGGGAGTCTTTGAGGGAACTGCACTGGAATATTATCTAACCCTGTTGCTTTACTATTTTTAAGTGTTACTAATTTCTTAAATATATCCCCCTCCTCTATTTTATTAAACAAAACTTTCTAGATTAAAATTGCATTTGGCATAATACTCTATAACTAATTTATCAATAAAAATGCCATTTTGTACTGGAAGCTTTTTAACCGTCAATATCAGGTGGTATTAAAAAAATAATTAACAATGTCATAGTCAGATATAATTAAAACAAACATGATGAAGCCAGTAAATCTGGTTGTGACCTACCCGTGTGTTACTTTTGTTTCTGATGGGGCCAAAAATTATAATGTGCCATTTATGTTTAAAGTAAAATTATTCTCTATATATATTTTTTAATTTGATATATTTTCAATTAAATTCAATATATTTCTGTCTAAGGCATATTTTTAAAATATAGACATGAAATTGAGATGATTTTTGTATTTTTGTTTACAAATAAACTTTTTGAAGTCTGCTAGTAAACAGACTTCTAGCTTAAATCATATTTACTTGACTTTTGAAGCCAGTTTTTATATTTCAATATTATGTATAACTTTCTTTTTCACATATTTCACATAGTTCGTTATTTTTGTGTTTTCACTTTAATTGAGGTTTTGATTTATATTTGTCTGATTGAAGCATGTAAAAGTGATGAGGGCGAAGACACACTGTAAAATCTGTGCTTTTGTTTACATCAGGAGTGATTAAAGAGCCGTCACAACTGCTGATACCTGTCTGGTTATTCCCACAATAAAAAGAAAACACAATGCAGAACCCTTGATGGAGCTGCCAAATATCAGATGATGGGTTCAAAGTAACAATGTGTAAATTATGTTTAAAGTGAAATTCATTCAATCATTCATTTTCATTTCGGCTTAGTCGCTTTATTAATCGGGGGTCACCACAGCGGAATGAACCGCCAACTTATCCAGCATAAGTTTTACGCAGAGGATGCCCTCCCATGTTGCAACCCATTACTGGAAAACACCCATACACTACAGACAATTTAGCTTACCCAATTCACCTATACCGCATGTCTTTGGACTTGTGGGGTAAACCAGACCAACCAATGAAAACCCACACCAACACGGAGAGAACTAAAGTGAAATTATTCTATAATTTTTTAAAATACCACCCGATATTGATAGACCACACTTATGAGTTAGTAACCACAGCAAAACATATTTCTGTCTAAAACATCTTTTCAAAATATACTCATGAAATTGAGATAATTTCTGTATTTCTGTTTACAAATAAAATGTCTAATCTACAAATAAACTTTTATTCATTCATTCATTTTCTTTTCAGCTTAGTCCCGTTGGTTCACCACAGCGGAATGAACCCCCAACTTATCCAGCACGTTTTTAGCAGATGCCCTTTCAGCTGCAACCCATCACTCGAAAAAACTAAACTTTTAGTTATTTCTAATTATTAACACACAGCCATGTCATTCATCTCAAAACCTTTATTGCTTCTTTTTTTTACTGTTAGAAAGATATAT